ACATCGAGACATTTAGGTCTTCAACTAAATCCAGACAACTTTCAGACAGTCTGCGGCCAGATATCGAGTTGAAACGTTGTCTTGCGTTTCAACTCGGGCTTCGCCGTGAAACGATCGTTTATTTATAATTCTGCTTGCTCGACGGTTAATCGATACACGGAGGTATTAATCAGACGATGCGTGGATTTTCGAGGATTTTCTTTCTTCTAATTATAACGTTGTACACGACCGACGCGTTTCAAACGGTCTCAGTGGTCTCTTCGGAAAGAATAATTAGATGTATCTCTTGAATATTCGTTGAATCTGTAATTATTCATTAATTCTGTATTAATCAAACGATACAAGATCTTGGAAATCTTGGAGATTTCTTTCTAATTGTATACACTTTTCAAACGCGTCTCACTGGCCTCCGAAAAGAATAATTAGATGTAGAAATTCTTAGGAACAACGATTCTGCATTAATCAAACAATGTGTGGATTTTTGTTTGACTATAACGTTATACACGAATTTTTTTTATACGCATCTAAATGAATTAGATGTAAAAATTTTTGGATATTCGTCGAATTTATAATAAACCTGTATTGATCAGACGATGGGTCTAATTATAACGTTATATACGATTTTTAAGAGTAACTAGGTATGAAAGTTCTTGGAAATTTGTCGAATTCATGATTCCGAACTTGATAGATGATCTTCTCAGAATTTTGTCTAATTATAACATCGACCTTTCGGTCGTCGGAAAAGAAAAGTTTTTTAAAATTCGTTAAATGTGTAATTCCAAGTTCGATCAATTTTTTAGAATTTTTTTTCAGTTATAGTATCCATCTTTCGTCCAAGCAAAAATTAAAATATAAAAATACTTGAAAATTTGTTGAATTTTAAACTCGACGATCAATCTTTTTAGAATTTCTTCTAATTTGCAGCGTTGATTTTCCGAACGCGTTGAATTTATAATAATTCCGAGTTTAACGGTTAATCGATACGCAATTAATTTCTATTAATTTTTATTAGAACATCGACTTTTTTAAACGCGTTCAGCAGCCTTCGAAAGGAATAAATTGACAATTCGTTAAATTTACAATCAAACAGAGTTAACCAGACGATGCGTGAATCTTCTAGAACCTTCTAGAATTTTAATTACAACACGTCGATTTGAAATGAAAAATCCTCGACAATAATTATAATAACAACTGTATTACTCAGCTGAGGCATAGATCTTTTAGAATTTTTTCTAACAACATCATCTTCGAGAGCCTTAGAAAACCTACAATGTACAATCAAATATCTATCAGTCGCGTCGTTACATAAACCCTCCACGATTATTCTATCCGTAAAACGTCCTCGAAACGTTTATACCAACATCAACGCGTACAGCCGTCCAAATCTCGTCTAAATTTCAAGGAATCGCGAGAACGAAGGGTAAGAAAATACACGAACCTTCGTCAACTACGTCGTCATCCGCCAAGAACAGACTTTCAGCTTCACGTGGCATTCGAGCAACAGATCCCGCCGATCGGCCACTCGGCCAGGTAAATAGAGCCGGTTCCACTCGCTACTCCGCGTGTCCGTGCACGAGCAAGTTCAAACAAACTTGATGGCGGAGTAAACGGATGGTGGTTGCGCGGAAAAATAAATGAAAGCGGAGAGCGGCGTCAGCGCCATTAGACGAGTTGCCGGGAAGGCAACAGCTAAGGCGACCGCTTGATCATTTCGTCCGTGCCTGATGATTAGTCAGTCCCTCGATTAGAAAGGCGCACGGTATAATACACCTGCGGATGGCTTGTTATCGGGCTGGCCGAGGTCGCGAAGACAGCCGCTATTAAGGTAATAAGGCTAACCCTGCTAAGGTTGGATACTTCGAAACGTGGTCGGCGGTAGGGTGTGACGACGGTTAGGGGGGTTGTCCTAACGCTCCGCACGCTCCTCTCTACGTGCACGTACACAGAGTGAAGGGTGGAGGAGGAACGTCTCTGTACGTGAACGTACACACACAGCAATCTCTCTCTCTTTCTCTCTTTCTCTCGCTTTCTCGCTCTTTCGCACTCCCGTCGTCCTCCCCTTCGCTCCCAATCGAACGCCGCCACCCTTCGCGGCCCGCATTGCATCAGTGTGAGGCTAGCACTCGGCTAGGACTCTTCCGGTTCTTCCTCTCGTTCGCAGTTGTAAACAACCAACACCTCCTTCCCTCCCCCCAGCCCCAACCCCCCCCGGTATTTGGGGCAACGTTCCGTCCAGCGGATCGATATCCCCGGTTCCTCGAGTGGCGTCGAGCTTTCACTAGAATCGACAGTCGTTTTGCCGCCGCTTTTCCGACTCCCGGCACCGACTCCCGGCCCGAAGCGCTCGATAAAAGCGTGCCACGGTGACGAGCATCGCCACAGGGCGTGTGACACTCGATCGAGCTGAGGACACGGGACAAACGCACGCACAGTAGAAAGGAGGAGTGCTTCTGCCTTTCTCCTTTTCTTTTTGTTTCTTCTTTTTTTTTTCTCTTTTCTCTGTACACCATCATCTTGGTATCAGCGGTGAAAACGAGGATGAGTTTTTTTGATTGTCGAAGGCAGACGATGACAGGAAACGTGGATCGTCGACGAGTGAATTAATTTCGACCGTGTTGGGGGTGGTTTTCCGCCAGTTGGCCGCCTCGGTGAAACGTGCACGTGTAGCCAGCGGTGGGAAGCATAGTGTGTGCCAAGTTTTTACTTATGGTCGATCGGTGGCCGTGGTTTCGTCGTAGAACCTCCACAAAGGCCGGCTTAAATGGCAGAGAGTCCAATTAACAAGTCGAAACGCTACTGTGCCAGGCAGGTTAGCTGTCCACCGCGTGTACGACACAGTGATTCTTCTTGCAATTATTTTCGAATTTCCTTTTTTTCTCTCTTTTCTCTTTCTTCTCCCTTCTCCTTTTTTTTTTTTTGCCGACGGTGTTGTACGCGTCGTGTTTTCATCCGAATCATCGTCCCAATTCGACCTGATCGAATTCTATTGAGATTTTACGTTCGCTTATCGATAAAGGACGAAGAGGCCGATCTAAATTGTTGGATCTAGTATATCTTTCGAGTGAAATACATATTGGCATTCTGTGCTCTCGAGCCATGTTAATACAATTGTCGAGAAACTTTTCTTTTCGAATTAAAATACAATTGTTCGAAACCAAGATCGAACTTTGGATAAAAATGAATTAGTAGAATTGGAATGTTTCAGAAATTTCATTCTATCTCAATTTTTTAATATTTCTTGCAACAACTTTGAAAGATATTGCGACCCGACTTTTGTCACTGAAACCCCCCCCTTTTTTTTTGTATCCAACAGTACAATCATTTCCACTCTGAATCGTTCTCCATTCGTAGAAAGAAATTTCTCGCGTCAGAGGAGATTTTCTCGTGTTACACCGACTAAGAAACGTGGGGCGAGCGAGCGAGTTTGAAATTTTTTCGGGGAGCAGGCAGACACGCTTTCCGTTGATGGATCTCGTTGTGGAGAAACGAGGTTAAAGCGCGGCGACGTTTAAAATGAGTGGTGGCTGTGCCGGGGGAGCGGAGAAACAAATCTTTCTTCTTTCTGCACAGTAGAATAAAGAGAACGATACATACGGCGCGAAGCGATAGAAAGGAACGCGGCGGGCGTGGGTGTTTTGTATTTTTCCACGTTTCTGGCCGTGTTGCTGTTCGACAGAGAGAGAGGCATCGTTGAAAAGTACAGAAACGAAGACAAAGGTGTTTCTGATATTGTTCGCTCGGTCATTCAGTGTGAAGAATAACGCGCGCGCGCCGAGTATATTTTCTTTCTCACATCCCTTCGTGGTAATAACGTTGCAGCAACAACGCATTCTTCTTCACCAAATTTTTATCCATCGTTCTTTAGTCAGATTTTAACATTAATTGGAATTATCGACTAATAAACCTAACGTCGAGCTCGCATCGCAGAAATTGAAGTGCAAAATACAGAGAATAGTTCATAACGGAAGTTTTCAGTTATAATATTTGGATAGTTTGAAATTATTGCAAAGAACATAAAGAAAAATCGTGAAATAGCTAGTGTCATTAGTATTGATAAAAAGTCGATTGAAAGGGTTTCAGTTAAGTTTTAGTATGTCTGTTCGATGTTTTGGGAATCTGTTTCCCAAACAAAGTTGTTTTCATCTTAAAAATAAATCGATGCGAGGTTTGCCGAAAACGATCGTAAATTAAGGAGAATCTTCGAAACTAATGATAATAATCTTCGTACTTGCTTCGCAAATGGTCCAACGATCGAGAAAAGAAAATTGAAAATCGGAATATAAGTGTATCGAGTGTTTTCAGGTTTCTGTTACAAGGATTATCTTGTGTTTCGATTGTTCACGCTCGTTCTGAATTAGTTTCTATTTTCTTTCGATTGAATTTGTTTTTGTAAGAATAGTTAACGATAGAGGAGAATTATTTTTTAGCATTCTGACAAATGAAAGAAATAATAATTCAGTAATGTTGGTTTAAAAAATTGTCTTTGGATTTATTTTGTTTTTTCTCACTATATTTAATGTTTGTCTCTTCTCTGTTGTTTAATATTCTTACAAGTGAAGGACATGATAATTCAAATTGATAGGAAAATGAAAATTAGATGATACATTTTTGTTCAATACCGAATATCTCTACATACTCTCTATCTATTTTTAATCACTTTAAGAATGTAAGTCAGTCGTAAGAATCAAGAAAATGTAAATGATTTTAAATCGACAAAGGAAAAAAAATAAATATAATTTGCTAAAAAAATACACTGTATTCACTCTGAATTATCAATTCTTTTCGTTCGTAAAAATCCTCCTCTGTCGTTCGATACGTTTTCAGACAACTCAATTAAGAGAACGTCGAAATAACTCTTACAAAATGAAAACAAATTGAAAATGTTGATATCGTTCTGAAAGATTTGCTCGTCTCTTCTTTCATTTCAAGAAAAAGAAAAAAAAAAAAGGAATGAACAATGAGTACGTCCTTTCCCAAGATGTTGATTACACTTGTTCCAGGTGCTGTCCCTTGGAAACGATATCCTCCCAGAGTACAAATTACAGTCACCTAGAATCGGCAAGTGGACCATACTACACTATTCACCCTTCAAGGCGGTCTGGGACTGGGTGATACTGCTGCTCGTATTGTACACCGCTATATTCACCCCGTACGTCGCCGCCTTCGTCCTGTCGGATCCGGATTACAACAGCAGGAAGAACAAAAAGTACAGTGACGATCCCATCGTCATCATAGACTTCATAGGTGAGACACGGAATCGACGATCGACCGATCGTGAATTTCTATGCATTTACGGAGAATATTGTGACGTACAATTATTTACAAAAAGAAACTGTGTAAATCGAGGAGCGAGTGTAGAAACTTGTTACAACATTTAGTTGTGGACAAATTAATTATAACTCGTAAAAGTATGAAATTGCATAAAGATTCGCAGTCTGGTGATCGATATTAGACGAGTGATACAAACAGGTATTCGCGCGTTGTCTGGCCAACTAGGTCTTATTTCACTGCGCGTTCAAAGAGTTCGTAGCATTTATATCGAGAAAGGTCAGAGTTTGCTGAATACGTGGGTGCTTTTCTAAGAGTATTATCATTAAGGAAAATAGAAATATCAAGAACAAGAATCTTGTAACATTTCAACTGTTCAATAATAGATATTAATAAGATACAAAGGAAAAAAGATATGCAAAAATACAAAGATGTAAAAAGAAAAGCAATCATGATTAATCATATAGTGTCAATAAATTTGAAATTACATACTGATAAGACAAGACAAGTTTCTTTTGAAAAAGTAATCAAATATATTATATCGTTTTAACATCCACTAAAATATACAGTGTATGTCAGTTTTCATAGCACAGTGAGAATGATTTTATATGAAAAAGTTATCCCCCCCTAAAAAAGATAAACAATATCTTCCCATTTAGTCAATTAATATTGTTGCAATAGTTTAAAATTAATATAATAGTTTAGGAGTATGCACTTTCATCAAGTTTGAAAATTCATTTTACACTTAAATTTATCGTCTAGTTTTAGTCTACGTGCAAAAATGAATAAAATTTTACTTGATAAATTGATTGTACCATGAAAACTGGGACACCTTGTATTTTGTTTACCGCCGAATTTTGTTGTTCTCAAATGTTGGGATTCTTTGACGTTTCAGTCGACGTCACTTTCATAGTGGACATCATCATAAATTTTCGCACGACATTCGTGAATAGCAACGATGAAGTGGTGTCCCATCCTGGAAAGATAGCCGTCCATTACCTGAAGGGTTGGTTCATCATCGACCTGGTGGCCGCCATACCCTTCGACCTTTTTCTCGTTGGCTCCCACACTGACGAGGTAAGTTTCGTCGCACGCTCCACGTTTTCTGAGAATCTTCTTTCCAGGCTGAACCTCTGATCATCGTCAAATCACTTCCTATCGATCGCTCCTACCCCGGAGCGTTTCTCTTGCAAATTGGAATACCAAATCCCATTAAAATAATTACAACTTCCACTCTTTCGAGAATTTTCCAATACTCGAGAGAAATTTTCCAATATCTAAAGAAAAATGAAACAAAATAATAACGAGACTGGTTAGTAAGAATGGTAATAAGATTCACAGAAAAATTCGCGGTGTTGAAAGAAACGAAAAGAAAAGAGGAGGAAAAAAAAAAGGAGCACTTTCAGTCGATGAAAATATAAAGTTTCCGAGAGATATCGTGCAAAACTATTTGTGGAAAAAAAGAAATATATATATATATATATTTATATTATACGCGAAACGTGAGAGTGATTTGACGTACGAGCAGATTTTCGGCTGAGGTTTCTAGAATGTCGATGTTAGCTGGTAAATATGATTAGGATGACATGCCGAGCCCAAGTTAAGTGCCCATAGGTGTGTCTTTACCGGATTGGTGCTTAGTTCGTTTTCCCTTTTTTCGACGTTTCTCGGTGTTGAATGATTTCTCTTTTTTTCTTTGTCGAAAGTTAGTCGATTCGACGTATATTAAATGTGCACACAATGTACGTACCGGCAAACGAGAACGAACTTTAACGGATTCTCGTTGTCTGGAACGATTCCACACAAGTTTTCACATATGGTACACGTACGTTATAGATCGAACAATATCAAGACTGATTTGAGAAACCAAAAAAAAGAAAAGAAAAAAAAAGAAAATAAAGTTTGCTCGAGTAGAAAAATTTTTCTTCAAGTGAGACTCTCGAATTCTTTCAGCAACTTTGTCCCTTGAAAAGAAGAATTGGCATTCGTGTTTGCAACATATTTTTTTTCTATCTTTTTTTTTTATTCTTAAGAGAAAAAAGAAAGAAAGATAGATACGAAAGAAAAGAAAAAACGAGATGAAGTCGCGACAATAGTTTTCCAATTGGATTTGTACCTGTACACACACGTATGCATACACACTTGATCTATTACATGTGTAAGTAAGTTTAGTTCTCTCGCTGTGAAGATTTCTGCTCTGTTTGTCGAAATGTTAGATTTTTTTTTTTTCTTTTTATTGTCAGTTCCTTGTCAGAGGTTTCTCTTCTGTATTCTTTGTCCCGTGTCTTCGTTAATTTCTCACTTTATTTTCCACCGATTTTCTCGATTTTCTCAATATCGTTTCACGTTCGAACCGAATTTTTTCTTTTCTTTTTTTTCCGTTTCTCTCATGATTTCTCGCGCGTTTTCTTCTCGCCTCTTCTCCGTGAGGGAAAGAAATACTAGCATACGCCTGCTCGTCTCGTCTGTCTTTCTTTTCTTTTTTTTTTTTTGTTTTTCATTTTGTTCTCCGCCGGTGCTCGTTAGAAAGTAGGAAGAAGAATAAGAAGAAAAAAAAGAACGAAAGAACAACGAGGAAACGATTCGAAACGCGGAAATCGACCGCGCGGCAGAAGAAAGAAAAGAGAAGGAATGTAGAAAAAATAATGATGCACCTGCTAGTAATCTATGTGACCCCCTTCTTCCCTGTGTTTTCTTGGCAAAGGAGCGAGAAAATAGGGCAGTGTAATTTTAATTGCGCGTGCAGGAGAGTTTGTTTCACGAGCACGAGTGCGTAAGTTGAAATCAATCCCACGTGAAAGCGTTGACGAGGGTTTTATGTCACAGCAAAACCATTCAGATGAAAATTCAGTTTTCGATCTGACTGTCTTTTTTTTTTTCTTCTTCCACGATCTTCGAAGAGAGAAATGCGAACTTTTTTACGATTATACATATATATATATATAAATTAATTCCCATTTGTCTCAGTAATGATTCTTTTCTAAGGGAAAAAGGAAAGATAAAATAAGAAAGAGTAATCCCCCTCTTTTTTTTTTACTTTACTCCTCTGTTTTTTTTTTTTTTTTTTTTTTTACAAAAAAGAAAAAAGAAAAAAAAAAAAATTAAACCACGAAATCATTGAACGAACGAATTTTAACCTCAGTTTAACGTTTTCGTAGCTCGGCTTGGACAAGGACGAGGTTAGTTGACACACATACACACAGAAAAATTACTCACAGGCTGACGTTTCTTCTTCCTTCTTTTTTTTTTCTATTTTTTTTTTTCCTATTTCTGTTTTTCCTTTGATAAGAACGCAGGTTTCGATTTACACACCCTTTTGTTACACACTAATGATTAAAAGATTCACCAAACGCAGCCACGAATTTTTTTCTATCTCTCTGTTTTCTCTTACTATCCTTTCTTACTTCTGTCTGTCTCTTACACTCTGTCTATCTGTTTCTCTCTCTCTCTCTCTCTTTCTGTGTCTCTCTCTTTCTCTCTATCTGTCTATGTTTCCATCATTTACAATTAACTGCTTAAGAAAAGAAAGAAAATGAATAAGGAACACGTCCGATGTTTCTTCTTGCACAGAGTTTTTTTTTCTTTTTCAATGCAATACAAACCCATTTCTTTTCTCGATGTTCCACCGTCGATCTCCACGATCTTCACGCGTACACGTGTGTATGCCTATCTTGTACACCTACACGCACACACATGCGCGCTCGCGCACGTACATACACACGAGTCACGAAAAAATCAATTTTCACACACACGAGAACCGTACAAGAAGAAAGTTCGGCCAACTGCGACCCCACGATCTGTCAAGGAAGACCTCGAGCAAAGTCGATCGACGTTGAACGAGGGAAAGTAAAAACGAAGGGGAGATATTGGAAAATGAAACTCTGCCTTTCATAGAATTTTGTTCAACTTGAAAGAGCGTACAATCACCGAATGAAATCTGTTTCCAGATATTTTGGAAGCATTTCGCGGGTATACGGGTCGATAGAAAAAAACGAGAAAGAGAGAGAGAGAGAGAGAAAGAGAGAAATGTCGATCGACTTGCTCTCGTCCTTCTGGCGGCGTGAAAAATTTCCCAACGACGAACCTTGAGGGAGCGTCTGCATGTTCACAGTAAAGTATTTTTTTTTTTTTTTTTGCTGAAACAAAAGAAAGGAAAAGGCGATACTGTAAATAATAATGATAATAACGACAACAGTAACAACGATAACAATAATGAGTATAACGATGATAATAATAATGGTAATAATGTATCCACGTACGATCTCTTGGTAGGAGAATCGATCTGCATCAGAGTAATGAAACCGTAGCGTTAAAAGATACCTATTTTTCTATTCTCTTTTTTTCCCCGCCCTCTCTCTCTCTCTCTTTTTGAGCTTGTGAAATACATATTTCTCTTTTTTTATCGAGAGAACGAAGTATGAATGAGGCGCAAACAGAAACGAGAGATATTTTCGTAATCAGTGTTTTATAAGGTTAATTGTATATATTTTATATATATATAATTTTATATATATATATACCCACATATTATATATATATACATATATCCTAATTAGATAGTTGATAGCTTTAGCTGAATTATTCCTAACAAATATTGATCCACTAATATGTGTTACAAATGCGTGAAACGATCGTGTCTGCTCTTCACTGTTTCTTTCCTTTTCCTAGTCACTTTCTTTTCTCTTTTTTTCTTCTCACTTCGTCAAGTAATTTTTACTCACTTTCCCTTTTTTTGCTCACGTAGTGACGTAGAGGCATTTATCTGGATATCAATACTTGTTGAGAATAATGCAAATAGTTAGAGAGTGTTTTTTGTAGTTAGTGGACCGACGAATTTTCCTCCCCTCCCATGTTTAAAATAATTTTTCTTTTCTACATGTATATATAAATATATCGATTTGATCGAAATAATAATTCGATCGTAATCCATCTAAGTTGCGTGATATTATATTAAACGTTATAACGAATAAGAATTTGTTAACTTACTGTTCTGTGACTGCAACTGGTAAATGAATTCGAGCTTCGGGGTTGCAGAATTATTCATGCTTATTTACGAGTGTTTCGACCATCCATTAATAACGATGCAGAAGGAACAATATCGAGATAGAAGCTCGTAAAAATAATCCTTCTCTCGCAGTGAAGTCAATTGTTCTAATATTCACTGATATCGATAAATGCTCACACGACACACATATTTTTAAAAGTACTCTTGACAGTACTTTTATTACATATAACTGCTGAAACTAATAGCTAAAAATATAATTAATAACTAATAGTTAATGAAATATAATGAAATACTTATAACTAATAATTAACGAAAGTATATAGTAACACTCTCGTGTACATGTGATACATGTATTATGTGAAACATTCAGAAGTTGTATTGCAACTGTAGTAAAACAGAACTGTTGTGACTACATTGGACAAATTTGAAAGTGTATGTGGAAATTACAAGATGCGATGATGCAACAAAAGAAAGTTTAACAAGCTGAATCCGGTGTGATCCATGAGTCATGTACATCGTTCAAGTTTTCCACTATATCAGGTCATGCAGAAAGTTCTGTCCGATTTCGAAGTTTAAATTAATAAGTAATTAAGAGTCTGCCAAAAGTTAACAAGCTTGTTCAGAACTAGATAACAGCTAAAGTTTCATTAAATAATTATTGACGTCTTGAATAATGTAGCTACTATATTATCGAATTTGACACTCGATAATCAAATTTATACTTGTATTAATAGAGTCCAATTTAGACATAATTCTAAACATTCAGTTTTGTGCAAAAAAAACACGATCACGATGTTAGGAATATAGAAATTCTTTCAGTTTGATTACGTTTGTCATTTGAAGACGTTTGTAGAATTGAATTTACCTAGTTTTAAAAACTTTAGGTTCAATAGAATTTTATTAAAATAAAATCGAACGTGAATTTTAATAATTTAACACACATTTCGTCTGTGCAATATTTCAGCAATATTACTTTAAGATTTAAATAACGATAGTTTCACGACTTATCGCACGAAATATCTTCTATTTTCTTACGTACGTTCTTAGTTTTGTTTCAAACTTAATAGTATGTGAATATATAAACAATACCAAAACACAGTGTTTTCTACAATCTGATATCTAAAATAAATTCCCTATCGAGGCTACATTTTCCTTTTATTATATTTTCAAAAATATGAAATCCACAGTCTACACACGATAGTTCTGTTTCATTACATGCGATTAATATTTAAGAATGTTTGCAACACGAATAGTATATTCATAAAATATTCTACAGGTGTTCGAATACTTTCGTAACGATACTGAGTACCTTAAATACCAAAATATAACTAGATACATCTAATACTCATAATTACAAATCATGATTTTAAGAAATGATAGTATAGTCCAGGAAGATGATCGAAAGAAATAGAAAAAATACAAAGACACGAGAAAAGAAAGGAAAGAAAGGAAAGAGTAATTAACTAAATTGAAAGTAGACAGTTTTTGAGAAAATTTTGACGAAAAATCGCACGCGCGTACGAAGTACACGCACACGTACACATGTACATACACACTTAGAAACAGACACGCTAGAGACGCAGAGGATCACATAGCGACACAACGAAACGCACCCTCCTCCCCCCGGGAAACGAATGATTTTTCAGCGGGATTTTGTAACGATCGTATGTAAGCTTTAGGCGTTCTTTTCTCTCTCTCTCTCTCTCTCTCTCTCTGGATTATCCACTCAATCAATTCTCTCTCTGTTGATTTCCCATTTTTTTACGTTTGTCGAGCTTCTTTTCGTACCTCTTGTCCATTGATTACGCTTCTGTTGCAAGCTATTGTTGTATTTATATATATATATGATTAAAAAAAAAAAAAAAAAAGAAACAATCGTACAAGCCCGGCCTAATATAATAATTTTTGTGTGCATAAGTATTATCACCAATGTTTCAAGTAATTTCTTCGTTCGGTGTTCTTTTAACACAAAACTTGTTTTGTAATTTACGCTTTCAATACCAAAAAAAAAAAAAAAAAAAAAATATACAAACCGAGAATTCATACTCCTTGCTGTATCATGTTTTTTTGTAATTGTGTATCTGGATATTTTTTTGTATACACGATTATAATGCGATCATGTGTGTTTTCTATCGCTTGAACGCTTCGTCTTTCTTTCCATTTACGTATAACTGTGTCTTGTGTATAACTATTAAACGGGTTGCTAGGAGATAGTTAACGCTGGTTAGGGGATTTCTTTTTGGTCACTGATACCTGGTTGATCACTGTACGTTCGAAGATTTTTGTAAATCCGTTTTATTGAATTCATCAAACGATGTACTGTACGTTGAACGTTGAATATAATTCTCTTTGAAGGCAAATTGATTAACTCCATTTTTTATAAAGCAAAATTTAGTTGTTTTTCATTTTTCATTTATTTATTGTAATATAATTATCAATAAATAACAATTGGAATATTTTAATATTTAATATATTAATACAATATGTATTATATATAATTTAATTACAATAAAATAATTTATTTATTACAATATACGTCTTTAATGAAGTTTCATAAATTTATAAAACAAGATTTCTCCATTGAGGCATTGAATGTTATTAAATTGATGCACATCTACTATTATGTTAAGCAAGATTCAATCAAAATAATTTTCATTTCATTCAGTACGAGAATTTTGTTCATGTATTTCAGATTTGTTAGAATTATCAATTATAGAATTCGAAAAGTCTTTGAATTTTCTAATTAACAAAATTATTCATGAATTAAAAAATTGCCCAAGCAAAGTAAAACGTCTTCTTCGTTTTATAAAATCATTCCAGACACATTTTTTCTAAATTGAATAGTGAAGAGAAGAAACGAGGAATGTCACAAATTTGCTTTAAAAAATTGAGATTTTTATTCAATATTTCGGTGTACTAATAGAAATTAATACACTAAATAGCTATCTTAAGAATTAGGCATTATAATAAATTGTATTTAATAATTTTGTAGTCTTCTTTACGAAGAACGAACAAAATACACCATGATTAAAATCACGAAAAATGGATATTCTACATTTCTTCTTCTTACTCTTCAATTTCACATAAATTCACATAAAAGGATTACGAATATTCTGACTATAGTTTAACATCAGAGTGATGAAACTTCATATTTTTATATAAAGTTTCTATAAT